CGGGGGGGGGGGGGTTGTAACTTTCCCTGTTTTGTAGGTTTGATCACTGGTCAGAAAAACTGTAACCTGTTTGGAACATCATGGTGTGCATTTGACTGTTGAAGTGCCCTTTTCTATTTTGTTCTCCCTGTCTTTTGGTCATGAACCCAAATTCCCTTTACTTCTTATCACTTTTGATCTTTCTGATTCAATAACAACTGTTGGTGCATGCAGCCTTGGTTTGAGGGAAGGTTTCTCCCGATCTGATAGTAATTGATGCCCCTTGAAGTTTTCTTTTTTAATGCTGGTCTGTTCTCTGTGATACTTTGATTGTTAGAACAAATGAGAAAAGTTCTGCTGCAGTTTAGAGATTAGAGGCCTAACAGTTTAAAATCAAAAGATAACAGCAACTACAAATGCAACAGTAGCAATTAATGTGTCAAGGTCAGCTTCAAAGATATGCTAATGATCCTCCCATCTATTCATTATCTTTTTCACTTTTTTTGTGATGTGTTACATGGTTGTTTGGCCCCTTTTCTTGGCTGCGTTTTGCTGTCATTACATTAAGGAGGAGAAAGGTAGAAGGTGATCTGGCTTCATCTTATGTTTTGGGCATAGGTTTGTCCTGGTCTAGTCCAAGATGCGTCCTGGTTTTGTGGCTTCAAGAAAGAGAGAGAGAAGTATGTGTGTAAATTGTAAGAGGATACAATACACTACAATGTGCAGCGATGCTCATACTTATATTGGGCCAGTTTGTTTAAAATTAAAAAATGTGATTCTAAAAAAGTATATTTTTTTTTTAAAGAAGCAAATAGGAATTACTTCTTAAGAAAAGAAGAAATATGCTTATTTTATTTTAAAAAGTGCTTTCAAAAATTAAAAGTTTAAACAAACAGGCCTATTACTAGGTTAAGCATATGCAAGCATATGGGCCCAGCCTGTTTATATACTGAAACCCTTTATCCTTAACAATAACTCCTAGCATGGCTCTAGTAGATAATCATTCTGGCCTCACGACTTTCCTAGATAATTTATCTTGGTGCTGCGACTTTCCCAGATTATCATCCTAGCCCTGTGGCTTTTCCAGATGCTATCTTGTTGCCCTATCTTTGTTCTAGAGCTTATATTATTGAAAAAAAGTATTTGTTGCAAGGTTGAAGCTTAATAAGCTATGGGCATGTTGGAAATAATAATGTTTAATGAAATTAGAAAGTAGTATGTTCATCACATGATAAAATGCATTTAGTACTCATGGGTATTAGTGTCTAGGAAGTTGCCCTCAATTAATAGTAACATATGGAACAGTCACCACCGTTCACTGAGTCTATATAGAATCTATAAATATGCACATCTTGCATTACCTATGTACTACATGCTTCTGAATAATAAAGTTGTCACAATCTAAGCCAAAAGTTTAAGCTATTGGGTGAATACACATGAATGATTTTATATTAATATTTCTAAAACTGGCAACCCATAACAGTTTTTTTTCTTCTTCCTTCCATTTCTTTCTTTTTGTCTGTTCATTCTTCATTTCTTTAGATGTTCCTTATCTCTTTTTCTCTCTTATTTTCTGTGCTGTTCATGTTCTTCATCTATTCAATGTTTTTGTGCTGTTTTTTTTAAATTTTGGAATTTAGTTCTCTGTTTTGTTAGAAACTTCAGAACCACGTTCTCTGTTTTCTTTATTAAACCTATAATGTTGTTCCCAATTCTTTTTCACTCATAGGACAATGTCAAGCACCCAAAATTAAAAGCTGTTTTAATTTTTCTTTAGATGTGTATATATATATATATATATATATATATATTATTTCTTTTATCGGCCATGGCTTCCTTCATAACCAGGCACACCATCTGCAATATGTTTATTGTGGGTTTTTGGCTCACTGCTATAGGCTGTTACTTGTTATTGATAACCTTGTTAACTAAAGAGGAACTTGTTAGGACTTGAACACAGGAAGAGAAGCCAACCCAAAAGAGTAGTCCGTTAGTGGGAGAGTTTCATGACTTAATTATTACATTGAGTTTCTTATGAGTTTCATGACTTAAGTATTACATTGAGTTTCTTATTTTACTCAGTTCGGAACTCCTAACATTGTTGCCTCCTTTAAGAGCTGGCATTCACGGAAGCTTTTACTCTAACAAGATTCACCTGATGGTAGCCTTTTTCATTTGACAACTTCACTCACCTATCATTATTTGGTATTGTACCTTAATTCAACCTATAGGTAGCTCTTTCCGTAGTCCAACTTTCAATGAAAGCACCAATTTGGGACTTAAGCACATGAGGAAAGCCCAACCCAATAGACTAGTCCATTAGGTGAGAGAGCCTCATGGCTTATGTACCCCATTGAGTTTTTAATTCTACACAATGTGAGATTCCTAACATTGCCACCCCTTGAAAACATTAATCATTAGATATGGAAATATAGTAAGCAATCCTAATTTCTAAGAGTTAATGAGGAAATAGGGAAACTAATTTTAAAAGATAATCTAAGATGTTTTAAGATGCAATTAAAAATATCAATAGATATTTTCATATGTTCTAACCAAAGCATTCCCATTCTTTAAATCTGTTGAAAAAGATTATGTTCTCTCTTCTCTAAATCTCCCCCTCTAATGTCAACATGTTGATTAATACATAGGGAACCTTTGTTGAGGGAATAAAGGAAGAAGTTGTACTCTCCCCTGCTCATGCACTGTCTCTTATAGCTGCTGGTGAAGGTAAATATGCCAGCTATTTTTTTTCTTCTTCTGAATTATACTAGTTTGTTGGTTTGCATATTATAAACTGTGTAGTATTTTGTTTTCTGCTTGTGCCTTCAGTAAATAGTTATTCGAGTTTATGTAATTCTGAAATTGAGTATCACTGTTGAGACCATGGGGGAGAACACATCTCAGTCATCTCCTCAATGCTTTGTGTTAGGCACTTTTATATGTGTAGGG